CACTCTTACACACACAGTCACTCACACTCACTCTCACACAAACAGTCACTTACATACACGCAGTCAGTCACTGACACAGTTACTCAATCTCAAAGTCACTCACTCTCCCTCACTCACAGTCACACGATCCCTCACAAAGACAGTATATCACAGACACACACTCACTCACAGAGACACTCACACAGTGACTCATTCACTCAAACAGTCACTCACACATTCACAATTTCTCACACGATCACTCACGCACAGTCACTCACAGTCACTTACTCATACAGTCACTCGCACAGGGTCACTAACTCACACAGACACTCAGTCACCCTCATCACACATTCACTCCTCACACAGTGATTTAATACACAGTCGCTCTCTCATAGTCACCAACACAGTCATTCACACAGTCATTCACACTCACTCACAAACTCACTCACTCACACAATCACTCACAATCACTCACAGTCACTCACTCACACAGACATTCACAGTGACTCACTTACAGAGTCATTCACTTACTCACAAAGTCACTCACATAGTCATTCACTCACATAGTCATTCACTCACAGTCACCCATTCATTCACACAGTCACTAACTCACAGAGTAACACACTGACACAGTCACTCATTCAGAGAGTCACTCACAGTCACTCACTCACCATCACTCACAGTCACACTGTTACTCACTCAGTCACTCACTCGCTGAGACAGTCACTCACACTGTCATTCACTCACAGTCACTCACTTACTTCACAGTCACTCACACAGCCACTAATTCACACATTCACTCACTCACACATTCACTCAATCGCACAGTCAGTCACAGCCACACACTCGCCCTCACTCACAATCACACTGTCAATCACACACACAGTCACTCACAGTCACTCCTCAGTCACTCACTCGTTCACAACGTCACTCCCACAGTTAGTCACTCACTCAAACAGTCACTCACGTACGCAGTGTGTCACTCATACAGTCACTTACTCACACAATCACTCACACGCTCACAATCACTCACACGGTCATTCATTCGCAGTCACTCACTCAGTGTTACTCACTCACAGAGTCACTCACTCACCCTCACTCGCACTTTCACTCCACACACAATCATTCAACACACAGTCACTCACTCACATTCACAAACAGAGTCATTCACACAGTCACTGACTCACTCACACAGTCACTTTGTCACACAGTCACTGGCTCACTCGCACAGTCACTCACATAGTCATTCACTCACACAAGCACTCGCTCACACAGAGTGGAGGCGAGTGCGGGGGGTGGAATGCTGGGGTTGAGTGTGGGGGAAGGGAGAGTGGTGGGAGGGAGAGTGGCGGGTGGGGAGCATGGGGGGAGTGTGGGGGATTGTCGTGCGGAAGTGGGGGAATGCGTGGGGAGAGTGCGGTTTGTGGGGGGAGTGCTGGGGTGAGTTTCGGGTGAGGGAATGTGTGCGGAGTGTGTGGGGCGGGGAGTGAGGAACAGGGGAGTGTGGGAGTGTGCGGGGAGAGTGAGGGGTGGGGCAGCTGAACACCAATTGTCACTTCTGATCCCCACTTTCCTATCATTTGCTCCAAGAAACACAACGACTGATGCCGCAGTCACTACCTGCTCGTAACAGCTATTTGTTGGAGATTATTGAGTCCGGATCGGACTGTGCAATAATTGTTCTAACGACTGATTTTATCTTCTCTTTCCAGCTCCTCCCAGAGAACAGTCAATTGCACAGACACTCACAGTCATTCACTCGCACAATCAAAACACAGTCACTCACACAGTCACTCCCTCACAGTCACTCACACAGTCACTCAAACAGACATCCACAGTCACTCAATCACTCACACAATCACTCACTCGCCCAGTCTCTCAGAGTAACTCGCGCACACAATCACTTGCACATTCATTCACAGTCACTCACACACAGTCACTCGCGCACACAGTCACTCAATCATTCATAGTCGCTCACTCATACAGTCTCTCACTAACTGACAGTCACTCATTCACACTGTCACTCACTCACACGCTCATTCACTCGCACAGTCACTCAAACGGTGACTCATAGTCACTCATTCACACTGTCACTCACACAGTGATACACTCACAGTCACATGCACAATCACTCTCAGAGTCACTCTGATAGTCACTCAGACTCACAGACTCACACATTCACTCACACAATCACTGACACTCACAGAGTCATTCACATACACACACTCACAATCACTCCCACAGTCGCTCATTCACAGTCACTTGGGCAGTCACTGAATCACACAGTCACTCTCTCACAATATTGCTCACAGCTACTCACTAAATCACGAGCAGAATCACTCATAGGGGGACTCACAGTCACTCACTCACAAAGTCATACCCACATTCACTCACTCAGAGTCACACACACAGTCACTCTAATAGTCACTCAGAGTCACTCACTCACACAGGCATTCACTCATCCAGTCACTCACACACATACAGTCACTCACAAAGCAATACTCTCATATTCACTCACTCAATCACACAGTGATTCACGTAAACAATTACTCACAAACACAGTAATTCAAACACAGATACTCGCTCACACAATCACTTACACACAGTCACTCACAATGCAGTCACTCACACACCGTCAATCACATACACACAGTCACGGACACACAATCACTCACACACACAGTTTCTCTCACACACACAGTCACTTACATACACACACACTCACAGTCATTCACACACAGTCATTCACATACAGTCACTCACACACATAGTCACACACTCACACAGTCACTCACACGCAGTCACTCACACATATATAGTGACTCGTGCACACACAGTCACTCACCAACATAGTCACACACTCACACATTTATTTTCACACTCACGCAGTCACACACACAGCCATTCACATCCACTCACTCACAATCACCCGCACAGTCACTAACTCACAGTCACTCGGGCAGTTACTCACTCATACAGTTACTCACAAACACAACCACTCAAAAGCAGTCACTCACTCACACTGTCACTCAGAGTTACTCAGTCAATCACTCGCACAGTCACTCACAGAGGGACTCATAATCACTCACTCACAGATTCATTCACTCACACTGTCACTCACAGACACACAGCTATTCTCTCACATTCACTCACTCCATCACACAATGATTCACGTAACGAATTACTCACAAACACAGTCATTCAAACACAGTGACTCAGTCACACAATCACTCACCCAATGGCACTCATACATGTAGTCATTCACACACAGAGTCAATCACACATACACTGTCAATTACACACAATCACGCACACACACAGTCATTTATACACACACACAGTCACACACACTCACACAGTCACACACAATCACACAGTCACTCATATACATAGTCACTCACTCACACATTCACTCATTCACACACAGTCATTCACATTCACTTACAGTCACTTACACAACAATTCACTCACATTCACTCACTCAATCACACAGTGAGTCAGTCAAACAATTAGTCACACGCACAGTCACTAAAACACAGTCAGTCGCAAACAGTCACTCACACACACACATGTCACCCACACACACAGTCACTCACGTACAATCACTCACACAATCACTCATACACAGTCACTCACACAAGCAGTCATTCATACAGTCACTCACTCTTAGAGTCACTCACTCACACAGACACTCACAGTCACACAACGTTACTCATAATGATTCACTCACACAGTCAGCCCCTCACAAAGTCATTCATAGTCTTACAAAGTTATTCACAATGATTCACTCACAGTCAGTCACTCGCACAGTTAATCATTCACACAGTTACTCATAGTTACACAAAGTTAATCATAATGATTCACTCACACAGTCAGTCATTCACACAGTTAGTCACTCACACAGTTACTAACAGTCACACAAGCAATCATTCACACACACAGTCACTTACAAACACACAGTCACTCACTCACTCACGCAGTCAATGATTCACACAGTCATTCACTGTCACTCACTGATACAGTTATTCACTTGGCCAATTTTTCACAGTCATTCACATGCACAGGGTGGAGGAGACTGAGGAGGCGGTTGGTGTGCGGGGCGCGATGTGCACGGGTTAGAAAGTACGGGGCGCGGGGGTGGGAGTTTGGGCAGAGGGAGTGTGTGTGGTTGATNGGGGGGGGGGGCAGCTTGTGACCAATTGTCACTTCTGATACTCACCTTCCTGTCATTTGCTCCAACAAACCCAACGACTGATGTTTTCGCTACTTCCCAACTGCACTGACCATGCAATCCCTGGACAGAGTATCACAGGATCAACACACGATTAGTCACTCACACAATTACTCAAACAGTCATTCACTCACAGCGACTCTCACACGGTCACATACACACAGCACTAACAGTCACTCAGTCACTGCACAGTCACTCAGTCACCCTCACTCACACAGTCACTCATACACAGTCCCTCACACTTTCACTCACTCTCACAATCACTCACTCACAAAGTACCTCACGGTCACACAAACTCTTACTCATAACGACTTACTTATACAGTCACTGACTCACACAGTCAATCATTTACATATTCAAACATGGAGTCATTCCTAGTCACTCACTTATACAGTCACTTACTCACCTACTGGCTCACTGACTCACACAGTTATTCACATACACAGGGTGGAGGGGAGTGAGGGGAGGATTGGAAGAGCGCTGGTGGGGGTTTGAGCGGAGGGAATGTGTGTGGTTGATGGGAGGCAGCTGGTGACCAATTGTCACTTCTGATCCTCACCTTCCTGTCATTTGCTCCCACAAACACAAAGACTGATGTTTTCTCCTCTTCCCAGCTCTGCAGACCATCCAATCAGCGGACAGAGAGTATCACAGGATCGACACGAACAGAAACTGGGCTGAAGCCCGTGATCACTGCCGCAGTCACTACACGGATCTCGTCAGTATCCGGAGCCCAGAGGAGAAGAGACTCATTGATCCCCTGTTTAATGGAGGTCAATTCGTTTGGATCGGGCTGTACAATAATGACCAGAGTGAGGCGGGTTGGAAATGGTCAAATGGAGACAACTTCAACTATACACACTGGTACTCAGGAGTGGAGCCGAATGAGTACACGTACGTATCAGTCTGTGTCCGTGTGATCAACAATGGAGATGCTGGTGGTGTATGGCATGACACTATATGCGGATATACAGGCCCTTTCGCCTGTTACAGAGGTAATGAGTGTATGGCTGACATGACAGGGTGAGATGTGATCTCAGCAACGTCTCCCTGCTGTGGGCTCGGTGGCGGTGGATGTGAGTGTGGGGCGGGTTTACTGCAGGGCCTTAGGGCCCCCGGAGCTCTGAAGGGCCACAGCTATAATGGGCAGCTTTCGCCCCTGTCTATGCGGAGAGTGAGTTACGGAGCTGAAGGATTAACCCAAACCTCCATCACCGCCCCCACCTGCTGTCACTCACTGGGTTGTTCCAGTCACTCACGCAATCAGTACAGTCACTCACACAGACCCGTAGTTCAAGGCACAGTCACTCACTCACACAATCACTCAACGTGAGTCACTCATATAATTACTCACTCACACTCACTCCCAATCTATGGGCAACATTGTTCAGCGAGTGGGGTCAGATTAATGGGATGTGTTCTCACCTATGTGAGGACATGTGCCTTGTGGTGGAGTATGCGGGGGAAGCATGGTGGTGGAGGGTATGAACGGCAGATTCAGGGGGAAGCGCGCGTGTGTGTCGGTGGGAGTCTGAGGGAGTTTGTAAGGTGGGAGCGTGGGTGGAGAGTGTGTGTTGCGGATGTCGGGTGTGAGTGGGGCGGTTGGGTACACTGTGAGAGGGGAGATTGGTAGGGCAGAATTGTTGGGCGGAGCGTGGAGGAGTGTCGGGGTGATGTGTCAGGGAGAAGTGTGGGAGGAGGGAGCGTGGGGTGGGGAGCGTGAGGGGATTCGTGTGAGAGTGTAGCGTGGGGGAATTGTGGTGGGGGCGTTTCGAGAGTTTGGTGGGGCGTATGGAGGGGTAAGTGTGGGGCAGAGGGTGGAGCATTATTGATATCACAACCTGTCAGACACCTCAGATGCTGGTGCTCATTAGTCAGGTTAGTGTCCCTGGGCTGCCCGTTAGGGGCTGTTTTCCTGACAGGGAAATTCACAAATCGGGGCCTCCTGCTCGACTCTTGGGCTTTGCTCATTCAGTTCTGCAACTGGCCTCATGGCCTCGTAGGTAAATGGCGGCCGAGCTGGTGTCTGGTCTGGTTTACACAGCGACACCCCAATTTAACAGACTTCATTGTGGGGACCTATAGGATAGTGTGGGGACCTATAGGTTAATGAGGGGACCTGTAGGTTCGTATGGGAACCAGCAGGTTTGTTTGGGGGCCTGTAGTTTAGTGCAGAGACCTGTACGTTTGTATAGGGTTGTTTACGTTAGTGTGGAAACGTCTACGTTAGTATAGGGCTGTTTAGCTTAGTCTGGGGAGCTGTACGTTAGTATGAAGAACTGTAGGTTAGTGTGTGGAGCTGTAGATTAGTGTGGGAAGCTGTAGGTTACTGTGGGCAGCTGTAGGTTACTGTGGGGTGCTGTAGGTTAGCGTGGGGTGCTGTAGTTTAGTGTGGGAAGCTATAGCACAGTTGGGGTTGTTTGCGTTAGTGTGAGGACTTGTAGGTTAGTTTAAGGCCCTTTTGGTCATTCACATCCATTCACTCACAATCACTCCCACAGTCGCTCATTCACAGTCACTCGGGCAGTCACTGAATCACACAGTCACTCTCTCACAATGTCGCTCACATTTACTCACTAAAACACCAGCAGAGTCACTCACAGTGGGACTCACTGTCACTCACTCACAAAGTCATACCCACAATCACTCACTCACAGTCACACACACAGTCACTCTCATTGTCACTCAGAGTCACTCACTCACACAGGCATTCACTCATCCAGTCACTCGTACACATACAGTCACTCAGACAGCAATACTCTCACATTCACTCACTCAGTCACACAGTGATTCACGTAAAGAATTACTCACAAACACAGTAACTCAAACACAGTGACTCACTCACACAATCACTCACACACACTCACTCTCACATCCAGTAACTCACACTCACAGTCAATCACACACACAGTCACTGACACACAATCACTCACACACGCAGTTACTCATACACACACACAGTCACTTATACAAACACACTCAAACACAGTCACTCACACACAGTCACTCACACATAAATAGTCACTCACGCACACATTCACTCACACAAATATTCACAAACTCACACAGTCACTCACACACACAGTTACTTACGCACACAATCTCACAGACTCACACAGTCACTTACACATAGTGACTCATACACACACATTCACTCACAAACATAGTCACAGATTCACACATTCACTCACACACTCAGTCACACAACAGTCATTGACATTCACTCACTCACAATCACTCGCACAGACACTCACAGACACACAGCGATTCTCTCACATTCACTCACTCCATCACACAGCGATTCACGTAAACAATTACTCACAAACACAATAAGTCAAACACAGTGACTCACTCACACAATCACTTACACACAGTCACTCACAGTGCAATCATTCACACACCGTCAATCACACACACACAGTCACTGACACACAATCACTCACACACACAGTTACTGTCACACACACACACCGTCACTTATACACACACTCACACATAGTCCCACACAGTGACACACACACAGTCACTCACACACAGTCACTCACACATAAATAGTCTCTCACACACACAGTCACTCACACACATAGTCACACACTCTGACCAGACTGAGGCCGGCTGGAAATGGTCAAGTGGAGACAACGTCAATTATATACACTGGGGAGATATGGACCCGAATGATTACACATCCGGATCAGTCTGTGTCTGGGTGTACGTTGGTGGAGATGCAGCTCCTCTATGGTTAGATGCTCCATGCCATTACGAACGCCCCTTTATCTGTTACACAGGTAAAGAGTGTGTGGCTGAAATGACAGATTGAGTTGTGATCTCAGCAGCGTCTCCCTGCTGTGGGCTCGTTGGCTGTGAGTGTAGGGCTGGGTCACTGATATTCTGGGACAGTGTAAGAGAAGGAGTTTTACTCTGCCTCTAACCTGCGCTGTAACCAACATTGTTGTCCATTAGATGGGAATAACGTACAACAGAATATTCTGGAGGTTACGCTAGTGTATGGTTTATTGCTGGTAGCTACAGAGCGTGAATGTGGGGTAACAGATTAGAACTGTCTCCTGTACAGGGCCAGTAACTCCCCCGTGTTTATTTCCAGAGAGAAAGACACCAACAACAGCTCCGTCCACTGCAGCTACTGAAACCACCCCATACACATCCGGCAGAGACACCTTCACCCCATCACAGAGCCCAGCAACCGAGCCCACCTCCCGCTCAGAGCCAGGTCAGTGTCCATGGGCTGCCCGTTAGGCGCTGTGTTTCTGACGGTGGCTCCAAACAAAGCTCATCCGTGACTTCAAACCATCTCGTTCATTCCCAATTATGGTATTTCAGATCCACCTGCCCTTCCCCAGAGCACGGAGTCTCCTCCTCCACCTTCCAGCTTCCCTCCTCCCAACATACCAGGACCTACAGCGACTCCCGAGAACATATTTACCGGGACCTCCAGAGTGACAGGTAAGTAACTGTCTACCAGTGAGTTCTGCTGCTGATTGCCAACCGGTTTGTGGGTCAGATTGTAGCTCCAGGTGTGGAGCATTATTAACATCACAACCTGTCAGACAGCTCAGATGCTGGTGCTCATTCGTCAGGTCAGTGTCCCTCGGCTGCCCGTTTGGGGCTGTTTTCCTGACGGTGAAATTCATAAGTCGGTGCCTCCAGTTGGACTGTGGGGCGTTGCTCATTCAGTTCTAAAACTGACCTCGTGGCCTCATAGATAAATGGCAGCCGAGCAGGTGTCTGGTCTGGTTTACACAGCGACACCCCAATTTAACAAACTTCATTGTGTGGACCTGTAGGTTAGTGCGGGGACATGTAGGTTACTGTGGGAACCTGTGGGTTAGTGTGGGGACCCAAAGATTAGTCTGGGGACCAGCAGGTTAGTGTGGGGCCTGTAGGTTTGTGTTGGGAACTTCAGGTTAGCGTGGGGACCTGTAGGTTCGTATGGGGACCTGTAGGTTAGTTTGGGGACCTGTTGGATAGTTTGGAGGCCTGTACGTTTGTGTCGGGTTGTTTACGTTAGTGTGAAAACCTGTAAGTTAGAAAAGGGCTGTTTAGGTTAGTGTGGGGAGCTGTACATTTGTATGGAGACCTGTAGGTTACTGTAGGGAGCTGTAGGTTAGTGTGGGCTTTTATAGGTAAATTTGGTAACCTGTAGGTTTGTATGGAGACCTGTATGTTAGTATGGCGTTGTGTAAGATAATGTATTGACCTATTGGTTAGAGTGGGGAGCTGTAGGTCTGTGTGGGGAGCTGTAGATTATTGTGCGAAGCTATAGGACAATGTGGGGTTGTTTGCGTTAGTGTGAGGACTTGTAGGTTAGTTTGAGGCCCTGTAGGTCAATGTGGGGTCCTGCAAGTTAGTGTACGTTAGTATGAGAACTTGTAGCTCCGTGGTTAGAGCACTGGCGTTGCAAAGGCGAGCACCTGGTTTCGATTCCCAGCAGCTGATACGTTGGGCGAGTTTCATTATTCCACACGTTTCTGTTTACGGATCGGTTCGATCGGTGGTTTACTTTTCCCGGGATAATAATACTCTCCACAANTTTTTTAATTTTTTGAAATGTAATAATAATCCACGGCTGTTTGAGTGACGTCGCTCGGCACAATTGGCTGCTGCGTTTCGCGCACAAACTACACAGTCACTACACTTTACAGTATATCCTGTGAAGCGCTTTCACACATGACAAGGCGCTGTATCAAATGCAAGGATTATTATTATTAATACTGTTATGATTATAGGAGCATATCCCTATCTGATTGTGGACAACATAAAGAATCATGTAACCTGGTGCTTGGCTGCTGGACTCGAGGCTTGAAGTAATATGTGGAGTGTGAGCAGAGACGAACTGGGTAATGCTTCTCCTGTCTCCACAGAAAGGCAACCAACACCCTCTTCCCTTCCAGTGAGGACTTCGACCATCGAGTATCAAGATTTCTGTGACGCTAACCCTGGTCAGTGCACTTTGTGTCTCAGCAATTCTCAACTTGTCGACAGCTCTTTACATACTCTTCTTCTGTCACCTGGACTCTCCCCCCACCAACCCTCAAAACTCCCAACCCCCAAACCGCAGCACCTCACCCCCAACCCACAACTCACCCCAACCCCCAACACCCGACCCCAAATAACCCCAATATTCCAACCCCCCAACCACCAAAAGCACCCAACTCACTCCAAATCCCAAACCCACAAACCACAAAGCTCAACACCCCCAACCCTCAATTCCCCAACCCCTGAAACTCACGAACCCAACTCCCGACCCTAACCACCCCCTAAACCCGCCGAACCCGTCCCTACCACTAACCGCAACCCCAGACCTGCCAGACCCGCAACCCCGCCAACCCAACAAACAACTTCCCACAACCAAACACCGACCCTCGAACACGCCAACCACACCAAATCAACCCGCAACATCCCCAAAAGCCCGCATATCACCGTCCCACCACACCCCCCATCTCACCGCTCGCCTCATCCACTCCCTCACCAGCCCAACACCGCACCTCACTTCAACCCCAGCTCACTTCACCCGCAGCTCACATCACCCCCACCTCACCTACCACCCACCTCAACCGCCCACCTCCCATTTGAGTCTCTTCGACCTCACCCTCCAGAGGTACAACACTGGAGACAGGAGGAGACCATTCAGCGCAGGAAGCCTGTTCACCCAGTTTGTTAAATTGTGGCAGATCTTTTCATCCAATTCGCTGCCTTTTCTCCACAAACCCCTTTACTTCCCAAATGATTGTCCTACATTTGCGGTGTTGAGTTCAGATGATATCCCACCAATGGCGCTCGCATTCCTCTCTCTGACCAAGGCCAGTGCAACGGGAGCCATAAGGTTCTCGGGACTGAGCCATTGTGTTTGTTTGTGTGTGTGTGAGGGGAATCTTCTCAATCGTTTTCAAATCCCTTCATGTCCTCACACCTCCAAATCTCCCCAACCTGCTTCCCCTCCATTCCAATACCCACTGCCTCCGCTAGACTGGCTCTGCTCTTTGCCCCTCGTGCCCTCCCATCAATGGCCGAGCTTTCAGCCACTATGCCCCCAAACTTTGGAACACGCTTCCTCTTTTCCTCCCTCTTGTCCTCTCCTACCCCATTTCCAGGTCGTACCTGAAAACCTTCATACTTGACAGTGCCTACGGTCACCTCACCCCGGCTCAGCGTCGTGCTCTGTCACTATCAAACGCTCGGGGACGCTGCCGAGCATCAGGGGCGCTGTGTAAAGGCGAGTTGATGTTGTTGTTGTGATTCTCTGACGATGCCGTCAGTTTTGTCTCCGACTCCAGCTGTGGGTCAGCAATTGAAGAACCGTTGCCTAAAACTGAGATTAAGAAACCATTTGTTGTTTAGAATGGCATTTGGTGCCTTTAACGCTCCACATTACGTACAAGGGAAATCCTCCGACTCCTGAAGAAATTGAGCAACTGAAGGCGTCGGCTTGGGAGCAGGTAAGTCGTGGACCTGAATTGACGCTACACTGTATGAAACATGGGCCCCAGCCCTGACCACACAATGAGCTACAGCTCCCTGTAACCTTCCTCTTGTCGCTGTTTCCAGTCTCAGGTGGACGTCAAAGATACCAAGGGACAGTTGGAAGAGAGAACGGAGTTTCTCCCTGTGTCCTGGTCAGCAATTCTCCAAATAAAATTGCTCGCTCACTCCTTTTGAGAATTTGCTGTGTGCGAATTGGCTGCCGCGTTCAGCATTCAAAAAAATACACTTTACATTATTTCCCGTGAATCCGTTTGGGACGTCCAACCAGCACTAAAGACGCGATAGCAATCGTAAAGATTGTTATTGCTATCATGTTAAATGGGATTAACCCTTCACAATCCCACTAGCTTTCTGCAAATGACTGACATCTCTTTCTGTCCAACCTGCCCTCTGCGCTGCTCTGATCTCCATGTCAATTGTTTATTTTATTCAGTTACACGAGAGGCTGAAGAAAGCATTCCCCAAGTTGACTTTCGGGAGAGTGAAGCCCAAGGATCGTTCTGCTGGCAAGAATCCGTGAGGGATGAGGGGAACGGAATAAGGAAAAGCCGGCAATGCCTGGACACAGCTTGTGTCATGTTCTCTCAGCAGTTGCTGCCTTGCCCCTGGCTTTAGAGGGTTTTAGGAAGGCTTGTGTTTCTGCATCATGTTGTTTGAGCCAATGGTGATGGGTTAGCACTCTCGTGCTTAGCTTTAATCCAACGCTGTGACAAAGGGGTGTATTTTAACGCTTCTTTATTGTATTCCAATAGTTGTGATTTTACGCATTATTTTATTGTATGGCTAAGAAATGAGTAATGTTTCATTTTATTTACCGAGCGGAGATGGACCTTACTTCCTGTCCTGTGATTCCTATAATACATAGTTTAGAGATAAACGCTCCTTTGATGTGCAGTTTTGAGTAGATTGACTGGCAATAGCGGTAATGGCAATATATGGAGATTGAAGTATGTTTTTTGTTGTTTGAGCCGATGCAGATGGGTTAATAGCGCTCAGCTTTACCCCAACTTTGTGACAAAGGGGGTACATTTTACCGCTTGTATATTTTAATTCAATAGTTGTCGACAATCTGGGAATAAACATGGGAACCTTATACATTGTAAACCTTTGCATTTGTATCTCCTCATCTGAAACCCTTTCAATTCCCAATAAAGCTTCTTGAACACAAAGTGTGGAGGGAAGGTTGGGCACATATTTTGTAAGCTTTTGCTTGCGAAGAAGTTTCTGCTCATTTAATCCAGGCTGTAACAATGCTGGAGACGGGAATCTGCATTGATACTGACCTGGGAGTGTGGACGCACACTGCAGTGGGAGGTGTACTGTATCTATAACCCTGACATGGGAGTATGGATGCACAGAGAAGAGGGAGCTTTACTCTGTATGTATCTCTAAATTGGGAGTTTCGACGCACAGTATAGAGTTTTACTATATACAGAGTTTTACCGTATGTCTAGCCCTGACCTGACATTGTGGACACACAGTCTAGAGGGAGCTTTACTGATTTTCTAACCCTTCATTATTAGTGTGGACGGATGCACAGTGCAGAGGGAGGTTAACAGTGTCTCTAACCCTGATGTGGGAGTGTGGATGCACAGTTCAGAGGAGCTTTACTTTGTCTCTAGCCTTGGATTTGCAGTCTAGACGGACGCACAGTGAAGAGGGAGCTTTACTGTGTCTAGAGCCCTGACCTGGGAGTGTAGGCACACAGTGTAAAGTGAGCTTAACTGTGTCTCTCATCCTGAACTGGGAGTGTGGAAGGACGCACAGTGTAGAGGAACTTTACTGTGCCGCTAATCCTGACCTGTGACTGTGGACATATAGTGTAGCGGGAGCTTTACTGTGTTTCGTTCCTCCATGTGCCTCCATTTGCCAGCTGTCAGCAGGAACGTGGCTGTTTGCCTATTGGAGGAATGTTTTTCCGAGGGTAATAATCCCTTCAACATAAAATTAATAAATGGTTCACTTGAATCCGCGACTGTTTGGGGGGCGCTGCTTTGTATAATTGGCTGCTGCGTTTTTCGCACAAAATACACACAGTCACTACACTGTACCGCATGTTGTGTGAAGCGCTTTGAGACGTGTGGACAACATGTGATCAGGCGCCGTATCAAAGGCCAGGAATATTGTTATTGTTATTATTGTTATATTGGCCTGCTCCAATTTTCCAGAACCACCCGCCTCACCATTGGCGGGAGAGCCTCAGCCACTCTGCCCTCAACCTCTGGAATTCCATCACCCAATCACTCCGCCTCGCACCCTTCTTAGCCTTCTTCAAGTCCCATCTCAAGTACCTCCTTTTCGACCATGCCATCGGCCACCTCCCTTCCCCTCCCATCCCTTCTGCCTCCCTGACCCCAACTCAGGTCTGAAATGCTGTACTCTGTCCTGCGCCTTGGGACGCCCTCCCCAAATGAAAGCACAATACAAATGTAATTGTGTTGTTGTGTGTGCTGGTGTCTGTTTCTGTGTGTGTGTTTGCGTGGGTTTGTTTCCTTGTGTGTTTGATTTTGGGTATTTCTGTGCATGGTTCTCTGTGTATTTGTGCGTGTAACTTTGTGTTTGTTTGTGTGTGTTTCTGTGTGCGCGTGTATGTGTATTTATGCATTAGTGAGTTTCTGTGTGTGTGTTTATGTGTGTTTGTGTATGTGTCTGTGTGTATTTCTGTGTGTGTGTCTGTGCGTGTGTTTCTCTATTTCTGTTTATTGTGTGTGCTTGTGTGATCGTTTGTGTTTGTTTGTGTTTATACGTGTTACTTTGTGTATTTGTTTGTATATCTGTGTTGATTTTGTGTTTCTGCGGAGCGTATTTGTGTGCGTCTGTGTTTTTGTGTGTTTGATTGTTTATGTGTGTTTTTTGTGATTGCGTGTGCTTGTGTATGTTTCTGTATGTGGGTTTGCATGTGTGTGTTTGAAGTGTGTGTATTTGTGTGTGTTCCTGTGTTTACTTGTGTGTTTTTCTTTGTGCGTTTCTGTGTTTGTGGTTCTATGTATGTGTTTGCATGCGTTTGTTTGTGTTTGTGAGTAATATGTGTTTGTGAGTTGATGTTTGTGTGTTTCTGTGTGTATGTGTCTGTGTGTATTTCTGCGTGTGTCTCTCTGTGTGTTTGTGTGATTTTGCATGTTTGTGTTTTTGTTTGTGTGTTTGTCCCTGTGTCTGTTTTTGGGTTTCTGTGTGTGTTTATTGATGTGTGTGTCGGTTTGTTTGTATGTATGATTGTGTATGTGTGTCTTTGTGTTTGCTTGTGACACTGACTGAGGCAGTACTGTCCACACAGTCTGTTTAATGTGGAATATATTCTGGAGACTTTAATGATTGTTTATTAAAGATGTTAATCCTGATTATTATCACAAAAACTATCACACACCGGGGTCTCTTTCTTTCTCTTTCTCAGTCTCACGCTTCTCTCTCTCTCTCTCTCCCTCTCTCACTCTCTCTTTCTCTCCCTCTCTCTCTCAGTCTCTCTCTCTCTATCTCTGGCTCCGTCTCTCGTTCTCAGTCTCTCTCTTCGAATTTCTCTCAGTCTTTATTTCTCTCTCTTTCTCTCCCAGTCTCTCGGGCTTTCTCTCAGTGTCTCCCACAAAACACATGTTTTTATATATTTCCTCCGACAGTCTCTCTCTTTCTCTCTCTCTTTCAAACTCTCTCAGTCGCCCCCTCTCTCACTCTCTGTCTCTCCCTGAGGCGCTCTCTCTCTCTCTCTTACACACGCACTCACCCAGTTTCTCTCTCGCAGTCGCTCTCTCTCAGTCTCTCAGCCTTTCTCACTGTCTCTCTGTGTGTCTTTGCCACGTACGATACAGTCACTACATTTCATAATACATTTTCCCATACAGTTTCAGCCTGTATTTCACTCCCACTCGGTCTCCTTCTGCCACGCTGTCCATCTCTCGCAGTTTCTCTCTCTTTATCTCTCCCACAAAACACACCGTCACCACACGTTATGCTCTGTCACTATCACTCTCAGGCTCTCTTACTCTGAGTCTCTCTCACTTAGTCTATCTCTCAGTCTTTCTTTCACACACACATACACATAGAGACACACAGACACAGGCAGACACACTCACGGCAACAGACAGACACACAAAGAAACACATAGAAACACACTCATACACACGTACAGTGATACACACAGAAACACACACAGAGACATACACATACAGATATAAACAGACACACATACAAATAGATATAGACACACACAATCACAGGCACACACAGACACATACAAGCCAACACACACACAGATAAACAGATACACATACACATTGACACAGACGCTCACAGGCACAAACAGTCATACACAAGCAAATACACACACAAGCACATAATGACACAGATACACACGCACACAGATACACAAAAACACAGACCTCCAATGACACACACAAACACACACAGATACACAAAGACACACACATACACACACACACACAGGCACACATACACACACAAAGGCACACATACACATAGATATACACACAGACACACACATAGACACCCACATTCACATACACACACACATACAGGCACACACCCACAAAGACCGATACGCACAGACCCACACACAGCAAATGTCAGTGAAATCTCTTAAAACGAAATGGAAACTGAGCAACTCTCTGCAGCACAAAATCAGCTTCAAACTCAACAAATAAAGGCACATATTTTACTGTAAACCCATTGAAACATCGGCTTAACCAAAAAAAATTTTTGAAGTCACTCACTTTTTACAGATCTCTGCGTGTGCGTATCTGTCTGTATCTCTCAGTGAATCTATGTCTGTGGCTCTGTCTGTCTCTGTGTCTTTCTCAGTATCACTGTATCTGTGTGTCTGTTTGTCTGTCTGTGTCACTAAGTCTCCAATCCTCAGGGTTCAAGTGCATCAGTGCAAAATATCCGCAATTCTGCATTAATATTAAGCAAATAAACCGCTTTTTGCATTAACTTTGTATTGTAATTATAAGTCCCTCTCTGGATGACACACGGGTAATCGGTTTGCAAAGTCCTCACATTCCCAGGGTTTAAATAGTAGCAGTTTATTAAACCACAATGTATAAAGACATGAAACGGGTTATAACATTTAAGTGCATAGTGTAAAACATTGCGGAATCTGCATTAATATCAAGTATATCAAAACGTTTTTGCATTAACTTTGCATTTTGATTTTAACCCCAAACCCAGGAAAAATATTGCAATTTTACAATCCCCGGATCCCGAAGTTCTAAGTGCATCAGTGCAAAATATTCTTAATTCTGCATTTATATTAACCGAATGCACATAGATACACAGAAACCCGCACACAGACAGACAAACACACAGACACAAAGACATACACACCCAGACACACACACACACACAGTTACATACACACACAAATATACAGACAATAACGCAGCCACACACAGACACACAGATACACTCGCAGAGACTCACGTGGATACACAGATACACAGACACATACACAGACCCACACACCGAGACATAGAAACACACACACAGATACACAGATATAGAAACACACACATAGACACACAGAGACACATACACATCCGCACAGAGACACACATACACACACAAACACACATAGACACACAAACAGGCACGCATGTCGACACACACACACAGACATACAAACACACACGCAGGCACACATAGACTCATGTGTACACACAGATATACACAGAACCAAATATACATATACAGGCGCCGCGCTCCAAAAAAAACACCGTCGGTCCCGCGCGCGGACAGAAAGAGACGGCACTGCGCAGCCGCCGAGTTAGAGAAAAAAAAGAAGCGCCAAAGTCAGTCGACGAGAGACACACAGAGAGAGAGAGAGAGAGAAAACAGTGCGGCAATGCCAACCCCCAGTCACCAGCACCCACCCCCCACACATACACACAGACACATACAGAGAGAGAGAGACAATAGTGCGGCAATGCCAACCCCCAGTCAGCAGCCACCACCCCCCACCCCCCCATACACACAGACACACACACAGACAGGGAGAGGGACAGACACAGAGAGAGAGAGAGAGAGAGAGAGAACAGTGCGGCAATGCCAACCACCAGTCAGCAGCCACCCCCCCCCCCCCACACACACACACAGACACACACAGACAGGGAGAGGGACAGACACAGAAAGATAGAGAGAGAGAGAGAGAGAACAGTGCGGC